CAGTGATGAGTGGCTTTCTTCGGAGTTCGGTATTGGGACCGGCACTGTATAACATCTTTGTCGGCAATACGGACAGTGGAACTGAGTGTGCCCTCAGCATGTTTGCCGATGACACCAAACTGTGTGGTGCGACTGACATGCTGGAGGGAAGTGATGCCATCCAGGAGGACCTTGACAGGCTAGAGAGGTAGGCCTGTGTGAACCTCATGAATTTCAACAAGGCCAAGTGCAAAGTCCTACATCTGGGTCTTGGCAAACCAAAGCACAGCTACAGGCTGGGTGGAGAATGGATTGAGAACATCCCTGAGGAGAAGGACTTTGGGGTGCTGGTTGATGAGAAACTCAACATGACACAGCAATGTGCACTTACAATGCAGAAGGCCAACTGTATCCTGGGCTGCATCAAAAGCAGCATGGCCAGCAGGTTGAGGGAGATGATTTTGCCCCTCAACTCTGCTCTGGTGAGACCTCACCTGGAGTCCTCCGTCGAGCTGTGCATCCGGTCCAGAGGAGGGCCACAAAAATGATCAGAGGGCTGGAACACCTCTTCTATGAGGAAAGGCTGAGAGATTTGGGCTTGTTCAGCCTGGAGAAGAGAAGGCTGCGGGGAGAACTTATAGCAGCCTTCCAGTACCTGAAGGGGGCCTATAAGAAAGCTGGAGAGGGACTATGTAGCAATAGGACAGGGGTAATGGCTTCAATCTGAAAGAAGGTAGATTTAGATTAGACGTAAGGAAGAAGTTCTTTACTCTGAGAATGGTGAGGCACTGGCACATGCTGCCCAGAGAAGCTGTGGATGTCCCCTTCCTGGCAGTATTCAGGGACAGGTTGGATGGGGCTTTGAGCAACCTGGTGCAGTGGAAGGTGTCCCTGCTCATGGCAGGGGGGTTGGAATGAGATGATCTTTAAGGTCCCTTTCAACACAAACCATTCTATGATTCTATGATCATTTGTATTCTTCAGCCCGGCTAATTCTGAAATCTTTTTTCCTTCATCTTGGAAAACAGGCTGTACTTAAGGTTAAATGATTAGAGTTTGCCAGATACTCCAGGCTGAAAGCCCAGGATAGTGTTAACATTAACAGCAAAGAAGGTACAAATATTTAAGATACGAAGTCTTAGAGTTAACAGGTTTGCATCCAAGACACTTTCATATTCTGGATATTTTTTCATAAGTGTCAATTATTGGTTATTTTAGATTAAAATCATATGTTATTTCCAGGACCTTGATAACTGTATGTGAGAATTATTTGTAAGATATCATGAGTAAAAGTCCTGGTAAAATTCTGTTTCGGCAGCTGGATCTGGCACAGCTCCACGGAAGATCAAGTATCTGCAGCTTTTCTGTTGCCAAATTTCACTCACTCCCAAATTTGTCTTAATCTTTGTTTGCCTTATATATTGAAGAGGAGGGGAGGGGAGCTAGGGGACACATATCTTTGCCTTGAAGATCACATTAGAAATCAGGAAAAGACATGGAAGTGTTTTTTAATGTGCCTATCCGTCACTGCAAAACTACCCTTCCTCATTCTTTGATTTCTTTCCATTTAGCAAATATTGTCATATGTTCTATGGGACTTTTATCTGCCGAATCTTCTTTTGATCGAGTCCTCACTCACCTTGCCTTTGTCCTTTATCCTCGAGGACTGCAGTTTCTTTCAATCCTTTTCCGAAAGAGAGGACTGTAGTGTTCCCACTCT